AGTGCAACCAGGCCTCACAATCAAACCCGACAGATCAATTAGTGCCGGTGGCGGCGCAGCCTGCGTTAGAACAAACTTCAAGCGGCGGGGCTCTCGTTTTCTCACTTATGAAGGGACCAATTATTTCCCCCGGCCGGTTAACTGCAACCCTCAATTAGCAACGCAACGCCAAACCGCTATTGGCACTCTCGTCGCGCTCGCGGATGCAAATTGCTACATTCACCCATTATCCCTGGCGGGCTTTGCGCGTCCAATGTTCGGCGAACAATTTTGTTGCCCCTGGAAGATGGAAGGCTAAACTTCATTTCGCGATATTCGCACCTGACAAAAGAAGGGGGAAGGATTGCTCGAAGGAAAACACCCCCACATTCTCAGAAATCAGCGTTTTGGGATCCTTCAAAGAGACCATCGGTTGATGGTGCTGAGTACAAAGGTTCAAGTCCTCTGTTGCTGGAAACCACATTTCTTCATCATCCACCACGGCTTCTACAGGTTCAACGGTCGAAGAATAATTTCGTTTCTCCCTGGAAAGGGGAGGTTTGCGATATTTTCACCTGGAAAGAGCAGATGATAGGGTCGCTTGAAGAAAAACGACCCCGATCACCGGAACTCCGCGTTTTGGGATCCGGCAAGGGAACCATCAACCAAGTCGGACCCGAGTGGGTCCGAAGTCACTTCTATCGCTCTAAACCGCGAAACAGCCAAAACGGCGGGTCCGAACATCCTCTGGCACTTCTTCCTCGATTTCTCGCCCTTCGCCGCGGTCCCCGAAGGGGCGGGAAGAAAAATGAACTCCGCTCAATCTTATATGCCTGGAGCGTGCTACAAGGGGTGGTCGCGCGCGTAAGCGAAGCGGACATGCGCTCAGCAGGGATTTCAAAAGCATTCATTTTAATGGATGATATAACCGAGATATTGGTTACCACTGGGACGCTACGTGTTTCGAATGGGAATGCGACGCACGCAGAATAGAACGCGTGGTGTCAAGTGCGGTGATGTTCGGCATGGTATACGGCCGGCCATTAGCAGGGAATTTTGGCGTTTTCTCTCGTTTTCTCTCGACTTTAAAAACAGCCATTGATAGACAACCCGGAATAAACGATCGACCGCATCGGCAACCTTTGTAGTAAATTAATTTCCACGATTAACCGCGGCGACAGAGACAGGTGGACGCGCTGAAGAGATGCAAGAAGAGGCTCACCTACGAAAAGTGGCGCAAGAAGTAATTGAATGATCGTCCCTCCGTTTCCCCGGGTGATTATTTAATGGCCGTCGAGTGAACCCTTCTCTCGACCTCGGAATAACCAACGAGGGCGATATCGATCCAAATTTCCGACGGTTCTTTAATACTTTGCTCGAGCGTGACCAAACAGTCGGGCCCCGAGTTTTCAGTAGTTACTAGAGCCACGGACCGTGGGGTAAAGAAGTTCGTTAAATCGAATAAACGAGCCACCGTGGCTTGCCCGACGACACTTTGCTTCCTTTGAACGGCTGGCTTTACGGTTTCGAGTTTCAGCCGAGTAATCATTATGATCGGAAACGCCGATGAAGCGAAATGCCCGTGAAATTACTTGTTTCCCTCGGCACCGCTCGAGTGAGACCCGATTATTCCCCGCTTCCGGACAAATAATTTAGACAAGATTTCTTATCAAGGTCCCGGGATTTTTCTTCTCCATTTTTTCTCCCTCGTCGTGCACGGAGAATGCTCCCGCTGTACAGAAGTCGCTTATAGGAGGGGCACGACTTCGTGAATTATTCAAACTTCGGAATTATTGTCACGTTTCGTTCTCTCCTTATTTCTTTTGAAGTTGGAGGATTCTTGAACTCGCAATTGAAACTCGATAACAATCCGTCTTTGCTTTCTATTGGGATAATTCGACCTGTTTACCCGGCGAAGTGTCGGCCGGTTGAATCACTTTCCTTCCGCTCGTTATTACGCCTATTAGAATTTAGTTTATCCCGAGGTTGCTTTAAATATCGACGACCCGGAAGGGAAGGTTTTTTCCGCAAGGTGCACGTGCCGAACTGACGCTACAAGTACTGGGATCGGGTAATGAACAAGTTCCACCGATTGAACTCCAAACTCTGGAATATTGCATTAAGCTGAACATCAGCGTAACTTTAACGCAGTTTCGTCCTCAGACCGATACAGCATTTCTCTAATGATGAGTAATTTCCTCGATGCATAAAATATCGCGAAATTGGCGCACTCGTCCCGTCACTCGAGAATAATTGCGCCAATTTTTCCGGAAACGCGTAGGTTTTAATGCGAGTACCATTAATCATGTACAACTCGTTCAACTCCCACGTGGTAGCGATCGAACAGGAAATGAGCCCTCGGTCTATCGGTTGACAGCGAATTGCGGGGATTAATTCAATGTCCCCAAACTGGGAAACCTTCCCAACCCCTTTGCTGGACGATCTCCATTTTAGATGCCACTCAAGTCTGCGGATAGCTTCCCCATGCATTGCAGAGCAACGCGGAACTACTGTCGCTAATTTTCCGCAGTTCGTATAACTAATGTATGAGTTACATTTGAGCTCCTTGTTGCCGAAAGCTGCTTGTACTCGAAGAGGTTACACGTCGAAGTCAGATTTCATCAGCAGGCGACCCCTCAGAGAAGCGGAGGAACAGGAAGTTCAATTCGGTAACTAACAACTAAATACATCATACCCGTCAGTCGGATGGGACAAGTCTGCCAAAATCGGGTGAAAATTCGATAAACACGCTATATACAATTCCCGAGGAGCCGATTATCGATTATATTAATTTATTAGCAAGAAATAACGGCCCCTCCGCGAGTTCACGCGTTAAGGATCAGCGAAATTCAGGATAACGCGTGTGGAAAAGGAATTTACTATCCAGCAGGACGTGTCTCCCCGTGGCGTGAAAAATGTGAGAGGCACGACGTGCTCGGAATAATTAACCAGCAGATTTTGCCGGGCTCCAAATTCATGCAATCGTTTCTCAAGAAAATCTCGGGGTTGGGCTCCGTTTAGGTCCAGGGTCAGTGATTGCGCAGACGTGCGCAAAATTCCTCCTTATCTCGCGGATAAATTCTGAAAATTATTCGAAAGCTCGGATGTCCTCGAGATTTTATCCTCTAGTGGTTTCAATTTTTCATACCCATCGATCTCTGTAATTTCGGGAATGCCTTTGTCATGTCATGCACTTCAGGGGCTGAATAGACCACCGCGAATGCACCCGTCCGATGCACCGGTTCTACTTGCAACGTTCCAACCAAGTTTCGGGAGGACACTTCGGCATTTGTTCCAAACGAAAACCCATTGGCCGGGGCCCTAATTAAATCGGATAAGAACTATCGATCCCGAGCAATGCCTATTCCATTCTCGCGTGAAAGAAGGGAAAAGAGCGCGTAATTAGCGGAGCCCGTAGGACTCTCTTCCGCCTCTCGTCCAAGTTGGAGGTCCCCTGTATGAAGCACTTTTTCCCATCTCCCCCGGCTAGTGAAATATTTGACGGAAAAGATTGTAAAGGACCTCCGCGAGTCATTTTATTTATACCGTTCGCGCGCACGGCGTAAAATAACGTCAGCGCTTTCGCGCCGGTTGCAAATTTCATTCTGATTCAGTGGACTCTGCGAAAACACATTTCGCTGGCCTACGGGATTAAACGAGTGGCCGAAAAACGCGCCGAATAGGAAGACGAGGTGGCGAGCCCCTAAACGAGTCAATTATAAATCTCCATTTTACCGCAAAATGAGACTTATTTTGCAAACTCGCGATCTCGGGTCGCTACGAGGGATCGACATTTCGAGACAATGTCCGCGGTCTTTCGCGGACCTTGTTCCGCAGACACAAAGTGCCTCTCAATGCTCGTACATCTTACGCAGTACTTAAGGCAGCGAAACGGGAATGCTCTGGCTTTAATTAAAGTTATTAAGGTCCAAGCTTGTACCGTAATAAACAGGGCCGGAGTGCCTTTACAAGCCGGGAAGTGAAGTAACGCCGGCAAAGAGCATTATTAGACCGAAACTCGCCCATGGCTGCAGGCACCTTTAATTCCCCGATTCCGCCGAAAGTTAATACGGATTTGATAACAAGCCACGGAGTCTTGAGTCCTCTCCTGGAAATTTTCGAATAAGCTAATCTCGAAAAGCATTTTCGAGCGGTGAGGGACCGCCTCTTCAAAGTCCAATTGAAAAATCTTCTATTCGAGGCGCTTTAATTGCGCCCTCCCGAATGGGCGGAAAGAAATTTCGCGAAAGAGGTCGGAGGTCCCTTTTCCCCATTCGCCACGATTTTAACGATAATCCAAGGAAACCGTTTCCAACCTGCGAGTTGGAGGGAACACTTTATCCTGGCGGAGCCCGAGACTTGGGATCGAAAAACCAGCAAGTGCCTCTACGTAAAGTTTTCAATAAGCCCGCAAGATTCCAGAATTGGAGGTTAAAATCGGAATTAAAGCCCGCGCGGATTTTTAGGATGATCCAAAGTCTCTAAGTAGACAGATGGAATAATTTTCCCCGGGAAGACATCGACGCCGCGCGTTGGGATTAAAATATCACGCTTCTAAAGATTCCAAAATATCCCGGCTTTCCAGCCAAATGTGCTTTTTCCTGACGTAATTGCCCGGGATCGCGGCACCATGGAGGAAAGAAACCCTCCGGGCCATTTCGGAGAATAACGAGCACAATAAAGATAATCTATCGCGCCGGCGAATTCTAAACCGTGGCCCGAACGGTAATACACCTGTGACTTCCGGTTTACTGGACCCTCGCCAAGTCCCGAATACGACGAGGGGTTAATTTTTAATTCGCCCGTGACGGCTGCTTAACCGGAAAATCTATGGCCATTCCCCGGTCCATCGTTTACCGTGATTACATTAAAAGCTCTTTATAAGCTTCCGGTGGTGGCTGGTCGCGGGAATTGACTTCCGCCGCCACACATCAAGCAGAAGGGCGAAGATGAGATATATCGGGGTCTCGATGGGTGGGAAGGAAATTTCCTTCCCAAGAGAAAGACACTTTTCCGGGTACCTTGGACGATGAGGTTGACCACAGCCTCCGGTTTGTTGCGACTGTTGACCAGGCACTGGTACTCGCCACTGTCCTCCGACTTGACAGGATGAAAGACCAGGGCAAAATTACTCGGCGACAACGACACCCGATTACTGTGTGCCCAGACGGTGGTGCTGCTGCTGCTGTATTCCAATATTCGGACCCCGTTCGCCCTCCATTCCAGCATCGACACCAAGGAGTGTTCCGTGACACCTGGGCAAGCCAGGGAAATGTTCTTCCCGGCTTTGGCCACGACTGTCTGCAGCGGGGGGTTGGTCACGTCTGAAATAATAGAAACGTCGGCGTTTAGACAAGAAAAATCTGCACCCATGGAGGCGGCGAGATGCGAGAAATTCCCCATTAAAATGGCACGCCTCAAATTCCCTGATAAAAGTACCAGTCGATACGTCGAGCCGACCAAGGTGCATCGATCCACCTTGCGGATTAATTCCTGGGATTAATTAATGCACGCTTCACGAGGACCCAAACAGGCAAGGCGATACGCTTCGGCAGAGGATATGCCCATCCAATTCCATATAAGCATCGCGGTGAAGTCAGTCGACAAATAGTCGAAATGGAGGATTTAGGAGTAATCACGCGCGCACCAACATATCAACCTGTCGGTTGACTCTACTGACAATTACCTGCTCGTGCACCGGAGGTGTCATCATACGTGAACCCGGGTTGCCTGTATTAATCCAGGTGCATGGCGCACGCGGATATCCCTTCTCGGCTTAACCAGGGATCGATATCCTGCCCTACTGGAAACGTCGCGGAAAAAAAAAAAAATAGTAGTCGCAGGAAAGAATGGTAATTCTTCGAGCGTGGAACTATGCGGTCCCGGCAACTATTTCGGGGACCTCGCATAAATCCAGGAAACGCATCCTGGAAGTTGCTCGCCCCGATTATCGGGTGCACTCGGGAACTGCGATTTGTCAAAGCCATCGGCTGAGACAGTACTTTCGGGAGGCTTCGAAGTAACCGTAACGCAAATCGAATCCGTCAGAAGAGAGTTCGCCGGAAGTGCCGTCCACAGGGTAAAACTCCGACGCAGCATCTTCTGGACCGCCGAAACCGATCTCCGGAATTGGTGTCTCCGGCAGGCGGGACGCGTTCACATTTCGATAAAGTCGAAATGACGCAATACCTTATCATTAGTTTTCAATATCCTTCTGGTCAGAACTTACGATTCCGGGGCTGTTCCGGAGATAAGAGCCGGACGGGACGACGAACGGGTATATATGTGCAGGCTGCACATATGTACGCGGGATATGAGGGAGGGGAGTACATAAACCCGGGAACGAGAAAGACCGATAGACGTGTATCCCCTTCCCGAAGATCGCATCCCCCGAAGTGGACGAAAGGAACTTGCGGTTCGCTTACTTTCATCCCCCACCTCGACAACCCCCGCCTAACTTAACGTATTGTCAAAACTTGACCGACCGTTGACATCTCGCGCCGTCAGGAGATAGAGGGAATCGTGGGACACTGACCTTTCCCAATCGCTAATCGAACTCATGGGGATAACAGCTGATAAGACAGCGAGAGCTCGCCGTTACTGAAAATGTATTTCCTTTCCTTTGTTTTTTCGATTTTCTTTAAACCCACGAAAACTGATTTTTTAAATCGCCGGTCGAACGCGAAGCGATAAGGGTTGATAAGACAGCGAGAGTTCGTGATTGCTGAAAACTTATTTTTTTTTTTATTTTTCATGAAACAAAGGGGAGTGAAATTATTCGTCGCAAATCAAACGCGGGAAGATAAAGGCTGGTCAGTCAACAAGGTCGGGTTATAGCTGAAAATGTATTTTTTCCGATTTCTCTTGAAATCCGAGCCAGACTCGAAATTAGAGGGGTGGCCTCGCTCTGGACAAATGAACTTTCAGGGTTTCGGGGTTACTTTAATGAAGTCATAGTCATTTTAACACGGGGGGATGCAACCGGCCTCCAGCTGTTAGGGAAGCACAATTAAACGGGAGGCTAAGCCACGTTTGCAGTCCTCGGGTAATGGACTCGGGATGTTGAAGAATCCCCTTCCACTGATTTTTACAACCCCTTGGAAGGGTATTCTTTTTGAAGTTATTGTTCATCTTGAAGAATTTAATTACGGGCTTGAACAAAAAATAGAAGGGGACAGAGTGGAAAGTGACAGCAACGTTTCGGAGCACCGCGCGACACGTGGAATTAAATCCGATAGGTCGGACGTGAGATCGGATGACTAGGAATTAATTCGATGATTACTAACAAGAACGGGGGGCATTAACGTTCCAGGGGTTCCTCCATTAACGTTAAACTACGCCCGCAGAAATTAGGACTAGCTCGCCTCCCTTTGGGGGATGGAAAATGCATGAGGATGAAATAACGACCGAAAGGTTTAATTAAGCCAAATAGAGGAACGAACTCTAACTGCTAACTAAAACCCCCGCTTGTAATTGGATATAAGTTACGTATGAATTTAAAGCTCGCCGTAAAGATCTAATAATGTCCACCGGTGTACGGGTCTTACTTTCCGGCGAATGGGAATGCAACGAGCACGACTCCAGCATCGATCGGCCATGTTTAATTTCCTTTCAATTAATTTCTTCTCTGTGCTCTCCAAGCACATAGAAGATCTAATCAGACATTAGACGTTAGTAAGATGTTTCTTACAAATGTCCAGAAATTTACCAAAATTATTTGATCGATGGACGGAAAGTTGTATCGGCTGACCGAGGATGACAAACTTTCGCCTTGGAGTTTCGCTCCTGAAAATTTTGGCGTCTTCCCAGATAAGAGGTGCTGGGTTCTTGGATGGGGTACCTTAAGAAAGAAAAGTGTCCTTTGTAATAGGACCAATCCGAGGCCAAAGTAGGGTGTCCTTACCGAGGGATCTTAATATTTCCCTTAATAGGCCCCTTCAGGGCGCACGAAATGTCGGGGCATTTTTACATTAAAACTTTTACAGTCCCGCGGCATTATTTAGAGGAAATTACTCCCTTCGCCGAATGAAGATCCTCCAGGAAGGATCTCGAAGGAGAGGGAACAGTCGACGTGCATTCTCACTGCCAATCAACTCCTCGACCGTTCAATTCCGGCTTTCGGCAAGCAACTTTTCCTTTCTCCCAGCAGAAGCGTGTTCCATTTTCTTTACACCTCCCTTTCCCGTAAAAAGGAGATCGTTGCCGAGCGCAGGGAGTGAAAGGTTGACAAGTTGACGGGCACTAGGGTCCGGACATTTCCCGTTTGCAGACTGGAAGAAGGACCCTCGGAGAAATGCGAATTCCACTAACTGAGAATAAAACGGCTACGGTGATCACACCAGCAGCGTCGCCGAAATGAATTCCACGCGGCAAAACTTCCTGCGAAATTTCCCGCGAAACGGTAGATCGAATGAAAAATCCCCTTAAATAAAACTTGTTCCTCCCTCAAATCCGCATAACTTTTTCTAATACCATTTTCCTCTACGTCGCATCCTTGGCGCAAAAAACGAGATCGATTCCGATCTTACAGAGGTGACGTTTTGAAAACAAGGTCGAGAGTCGACGGATTTCCCCAGGCGGAGAATAACGCGGAATAAGCGGAGCAGAATTCCCCTCCCTGGGTGAGTCAGGTTGGACGTTTTCCGTAAAACCGGCGATACAGCTTCCGGTATTTATCGGTAGCGGGGAATCTGCATTTCCGGGTCTCGAGGGAACGCCGTAGGGAGGGAGACGCGGCCGCAAATTAATTTGCACAAATCTTCCTCGGCGTGAATTTTTCGTCGAGTAATTTCCGTAGAAGGGAGCCCGCTTGTCCGAAGGCAAGCCGTTACCGGGGTAATTACCTGCGTACCTTGGGGTCCATCTCGCCTTTTTGTCTCATAACCAAGTAACTATCTTAATTGCTTATGCTCCCTGTAGTTCCCGTAACAGGACGAGGGCGGCAGCTACCCGCGCTTACCATAATACCGTACGTTCACCTTCCTGCTCTCGTTATCCCTTTTTCCTGGAGGACGAGGCCGAATGAGTTCATCCGGTCGACTTTTCCTCGTCCTTTTGGGTTCCCCCCTCCCCCCAGGTTTTTTCCTCCAGCGCGAAATAACGCCCTCTACGCAGCTAATGATCGCGATCGGGTAGCTACTCCTCCGAAGGATTCCCTTACGCCAATTTTCACTCTACTAACGGTTCCGCTGCCGTTCCGTCGTTATTCCGCTTAGGCTGCTTCGCTAGCTTCTTAATTGCTCCTCGAAACTTTTCCTGGAAGGGCTCTCCGAGGTGTCATCTCCTCTTCCAGGGCACCCATTGACTTTTCTTCGTCTACCGCGAGTTTTCCAGAATTTCGAAATCCGCTCTTCGGTATCCTCTTCGAGGCGACGTGCTTCCAGATCTCGGCGGTCGATTGAAAATTCTCTAATTACCCTGGAGAGGTGAAGAAATTCTTTCCGTTGACGCTACGGTGTCGTTTCTAGCGACATCCTCAAGCCGGGCTTTTCGGGGGAATGTCGGTAATCGGGAGTGCAACGCGATCTCCAAGGCATAATTCCCAACAAGTTGGCGTGCAAGGGATATTTTGTCCGGGAGCAAATTTCCCGACGCCTCCATTATCTGTCAAGCGCTGTCACCCCCTATTCCAAACTTGTATCGCGTCTGCTGGTCCCGATGCGCGAGAGCCCCATCAAGATACGCCCGTTCATATTTCATGCGCCGTGCTGACACAGGTAATCACCGAGTGGGCTAAATTCATTTCTCCGGGCAAAAGATCCGCAGACAATGCCGCTGGAAATGGCAAGCGGGGGCACTTTAAATGTCCACCTTCCTAGGAACACGCCGTTCCAGCCGGAGTCATCGATCAAGGCGATTCCGATCGCCAACCTTCATGACCCGCGATTACACGTGGAAGTGCCATTAGGGCTCGGTTTACATTGGGACCCGATGAACATTAGCGATCGCCTAGGTGAAATATCATATTTCCACAGGGACTCCCATTCTTGGGTTCGAGTCGTCACGAACCACTCTTCGGGGTCTCTTCGCCAGTGATGGGCAAAATCGGTCTTGGTCTTGCTATCATTTTGCACGGTTAGTTAAGATCAATTAAGCTACTCGAGGATGCAAGATTAATACCGAGACCTAGAGACCAAGACCGATTTTGCTCGTCACCATTCCGTCAGGGTCTGCTCGCTTTGTAGAGGGTGGACCGAATATCAAATATAGTCTTCCTTTTTTTTGGTTTCACTCGATTAAACCAGACGATGGAGGCTTAACGAGGTACTGCAAAGCCAAGGCTCTGTGCGTTCACTAGCAACGAAGCTGGTGGTACCACCCGACTCGCGATGGATCCGCTCAGAGATCAAAGCGCGAAGTTGCGCTCAGGAAACCGCGGCTCAACTCGGGCCCAGCTCGGTTGCCGATTGCGCCTTACTTAGGAGCCAGATCTGGGCATTCCTCTGCAATAAGGATTAGCCAAAGTGGCGGGTTTACGCACCAGGACTCGGCCAGGCGTCCCGGAATGGAAGCCGAGATCCACTTTACGGTGCAGCTTCCAGACCTCGCGCGTAATGGCTCTCCCGGAAATTTCTCAGATATCGGGATAAGGGAGGTTATGAATGAAACTCTCGTCGTGAAATAAAATTACCGGCCCGCGGAACTTGGCAGTGTTTGGGTCCTTGATTGCGATTGTTTCCCCCGCGGGATTGGAACTCTTCGAGGTCGGTGGAGGGACTTCGAGAGGTACTATAAATTGTCGAGTCTCCGCGATGAATAAGCCGATTCGAGATGTCAAGTGAGAACTTTCGATGTAATTGGGGGCTATATTTGTTCGGCTGCACTTGAACACCGTATACGTTCACCGGGCTCAAGATGCGGCTGCACGTGACTCGGGCTGATTAAATAATTGCATATTCCATTTCCGGCGGGCTTGCTTCGCGGACACTTAGGAAATTGAAGCAAATCCACGCCCTTTGTCGAAGCTGGTACCTTAAGTGCGCTCGCAATTGCGGCTCTTCGGACGCTGCGATTCGGACGGAGTGCGCTGCGGTTTGTTTAAACTGCGGAGGTTCAAGCGATGGATGTTCACTTTGAAGTGCCCAAGAAAGGGGCGGTTTAGAGGGGAGGGAATCGTCGGCGAGTTCTTTGATTTTTCGGGAAATTTACTTCTCGAGGAACACTCGAAAGAGGTCTATCGGACGCCTCGATTACGCGAGATGTCGGGGCACGTGCTTTCCGAAAAATTATTTCCGGCCTAAATTCGACCCGGGTACATTTCGTCGTTTACATCGTCGCAGAGATGGACGATTCCATTCGGGGGAGATAAAAATTCACTCGCACGGACAGGCGCAATTTGATGCTCCGTACACCAAGTTAAACATTGCCACTTGTGTCGTGTAGGTGCAACCGGGGTTTGCACTTCGACCCACCCCGGAATTCGGGGCGGAACAGATACTTAGGCATCCCCCTGCTAGGGAAATTTGCGAAAAGCGATTCCATGGTTTTTCATTTCGCCCTCTAGCAAACACTTTAAAAGATGCCTGCCGGACCGACGCCGAATCATCGGACGCGGCGGACTCCGATAACTCGCGGAAATCAGACCCGAACATCCCGGTAAAGAATTTTAAACATAATTTCCCGCAAAAGGAGGACTCTCTTTCCATTTCCATCAGTGGTCCGCAAATACCCTCGGCTCGAGTCCACCGATAAAATTCTCATAAAAATGCATAATCACGGAATATTCCGAACTTATCCAAACGCCTTATCGCGTTCTCTTGAACAATTTCAAAATACCCGGTATCGGGCTCTTCCATCACTATATACGCTCGTGAAAAGACGTGAAATCGGAAATCAAAGTAAGGAGGGTTCTGGGTCGATCCCTCAATTTTTTCTGGAAATTATCAGAGACAGGTGATGTCGACTCTAGGCGGCAGGTTCTGCATCCCTGTCGGATGAAACGCGTCGTTGAGGGGACGTCATCGGTTCTTGGTCAGGTTCCACGTTTCCATCTCCAAGTCCAAGGCGAATCATTAATTTCTGTAAACTATTCTCCTTTTTTCCGGGTGCCGGGGCGGCTACGATGGAGGCGCCGCCGTCGAGGGACGTCGGAGTGCTCGGACCAGCCTCGGCGATAAGCAACGACCGATCGCCACAAAGGCCATAGTAACTCCGGGGGAATTGAAAAAGTGCTCTTGGGGTTGATTGATCGACGAGGGCCCCTCGTCGCCTCTATTGATAAACATGATTGACGTTACCCCGGCCTAACAAACATCCTCGGACCGCGGCAAATTGTCCATCGGGAGCCGGATGTCGTTTTCCCAGGATACGGATATACCGGCGAAGTAACTAGACCCTGAAGAGCATCGAGGCCGGATTCGAGGAACGTGGGGTGGAATTTCGAGGGCGGATCCATTTGTTTTTTCTACGTCGGTTGATCCATTAGCGGCGGTTTCGATTGTCGGCCATCTTCCGGGCCCCCCTCGCGAGAGAGTAAATCTCTGTGTATCGGTGCGCCGCCCCATTTTCCAGGATACCGATATCCCCCATCGGACGTGTTTGCCAGCGGAGATCGATAGGTTTTCGGGGCTCTTGGCCCTGGTGTGCCTCGCGTCTTGATGAGGCGCGCATTCGGCGGCTCTTCCGGATCCTCCGAAGCGCGGAAGCCGCACGTCACGTCCCAAGAGCCGGAGGCGCTGCCACTGACCTGGGTCAATCGCGGCCCGGCGAAGAAACGAGAGATCCCTGCGAAATGGAGCCATGGACCTTCCCTTCCATCTCCTTCTCGCCGGGAACCGGAGGTTCGAGAAGAACGCATAAAAATCATGCAAAAATCCCTCCGCGGAGGAAACGCAAACGGCTCCCGAGTTCGCTCCTTCGCGAGGCGCACTTCCAATGGATTTTACACTTCCTTTCAGGGCGTCGGGGGGTGTTTAATTCATTGGGGCATTTAATCCATTCGGAATCGTGTGCAAGGGGCACAGTCGAGTACGCCGAGGGGAGAGGAAAAGCCGGGTCGTGATTGGTCCCACGGCTGGGGCTGGAATTATCTAACGACTTCGAATTCCGAACCTAGTTTGTTGAGACAACGCGGCTGAAGTTGAGGAGTTGGCCCGGCCCGGAGTGGAGGAAATCTAATTTCAATCTAGGCGAGAGGAGCGGAGGTGACGAGAAGGAGTCGCGCGACACTGAATGGATATAAGTTCGTATGTAAATACTGGGATTCGAACTACCTACCGGCACTGGTACAGTGGATCGAGCGAGAAACGTCGGTCGGACGTGAAAGGGGTTCGGAAGAGTTCCGAGCCTGTTTGGCTCGTGGTACGTGTGGTTTAGGCGACTCCGTTACACACCTATTGGGGCTTAACTTAAGGAAAGAGCTTATCAACTTCTTCCCTTTCGACACTTCCGGCTCACGGGTGTTATGGCGAATTAATGCGGACTCGGAGTTACTTCCACCACTGCCGAAGAAGTTACCGCCGGGCGAAGTTGACCGCGACTTTATCCGCGCCTGATTCCTTCGACGCCGATAATGATTTTTCTTCCGAGATGGTCTCTTATCTTCGCGTCGCTGTAACCAAGATGTAACGACTTTTGCAGTTTCGGAGTGATTATTTTCATCCCCCTCCGATTACATCTTATATAGTTAACGATATTCTGAAGAAACAAGATGGTGTTTCTTCGCGGGCACGTGGTTGCTGGTCCCTTTATGGTTCTCGATCATGGGAAAGTGGAACGCAGCATCGCGTCGAGGAATTTGTGGAGAATAAATTCCTAGGGTTTATAGGACGGGCTCGCGACGAGCCGTTGTGGATTATGTCAGGAAAACGCAGTTCCAGGCCTGGAGGAATTTCTCGGGTGAATTTTCCTGATTTTACGGGGCACCGGATGCCGCGCAAAATTTACTCACCGGCAGGACAAACAAAATCTCGTCGATCGGTTTCGGATGACGTTCCCTTTGCAAAATGGATGACATTGCTGTAATTTCTACGGGATCCGCGCACCATTGTCCAACATTTAATTAAGCGGCTCAAGGTCCGGGACAATGGGGGTGCGTTTAAGACGATTCACGTGACGGTAGTTACGATGTGCATTATTCCTGTGTTCATTCAATTCGGCATGGGCCACCGGGGGAGAAAACTTCTGCCCAGACACGACCGGCTTTCATCTGCGAAGCCTGAGAGTCATCGATGCCCTCTAATGAAATGCATCTCCGATAAACCGAAGCATTTCCACGATTTCGGCCAATTCACAGACCGACGGAATTAAATTTCAACGAATTTATACCAGAAAAACGTTCGGCTAAAATCTTGGACGAATGCCACCGAAGAGAGTAAAATGAACAATTGTTCATGTCTGGGCCGAAAAAGGAACCAAGCACTCGATTAAATTTCCATACACGTTACGACCTCGTCGGCACATGCTCGTCAGCAATTACACGGCATCACGATGCAGATGTTATCACGCAACTAATCAGCAAGAAGTTAGAGCAAAGAGGCGGGGATCCCGGAAGGGTGTACCAAAATTCAGCCGACAACAATTTGACATTAAGTCCAGACACGCCATTGTCCTGGAAACAGGAGCGAGCGTTTCGCGTGGTGTTTATATCCCGGCATACATCGTCACATCAAACACCGAGTGGCGTTCGTGCAGGCCATCGCTCTTAAAATGGCCTGAAATTAATATCCACGGTCCACGGCGGATCCCAAATCACCCCGATTTCCATCTCAAACTGATTTCAGACATTAATTGCAATCGCCGCCGAGCGTGGAAACAGACGAATTCCACGTTGGCCAATTGAAATGCCTTTGAAATTTTGAGAAAGCCGATATATCTCGAAATCGGAAATGTCCTTGGCATGCGACTTGCAAGCGCGATTGTACAGACGTATTCGAAGTTTCATCGGTAATAAAGGTTCCGAGTGCGCTATCAAATGCGACACTTTGCGTCGTAGGTCAAGCACAGATTTCGCATGCACTTTGAGCTTACGAGGCACTCAAATTGCCTCGATACTCGGCCTTGAATATCCTCTTCAACGTTCCGTGGCTCTTATTAAATGTCTTCAGGCCCGACTTTTGACCAGTGAAA